ATTCTACATATTATTTGAAAAATCTGAGAACTATATAAAACTGTTAATATGCAATCTTTCAGCTATGTAAAACGTAAATTGACAACAAAAGAAAGTGGGTTATGAGCATCTCCATAACGCATACTAAGATTTTCCCCAAGATTTTAAAACAGTCTGCAAATGCCGAAAATCAGTTAATAAAGGTAAAAATCTAAGTTCAATGTTTTTCCACAAGAACTGACCAATAGTTGTGTCAAAATTTCACAGACGGCGGTTCTAAAAATTTTTTGTTAATTGCGGCAGGAATGTGCTCAAATGATTTCAAACAACCAGTTAATGCAATTGAATCGGGAGAGACTTCTGAACTTTCAACGACGATTTAATAAACAGGCATAAATATATAAAGTGCAAAATTATTGTGGCATGTACTCCGTCCAGCCGTAGTATAGACCCGGGCCCGGAATGCCGAGATGAGAGCGGGCATTGCCCCCCTTTGGGAGTCCAGACACTGGAGGTGGTGGTAGAGAATGGGTTGCTCCAATCCTCTGATAGACCAGGTATTCCAGGTATTCCTGCTGACTGGAGGTGTCTGGGTGGTGGAGGGTTGCCTCTGGTGCTTGCTCAAATGACAACTGACAGCAACAGAGAGGAGAACAGCTTTTAACGTTTGACTTTACCGACGCGATTGGTTTATGGAAACGGTGTCTGCGCCGCCCCATCAGCTTATGGCATATGGCTCAGGCAGAGGCTTCTCCAGTCATCCTGGCTGAATTTATGCCTAAACTTCATTTATCCAACTTGGAAAGGGTTCATCCTTTAGGGCTGCATAATTGAGCTTGGTAACTTCGTAAAACAATTAGATTTGAATATTTATTGTGGACTGATGGAGGTGTATGAGAAAAGGTCAGGGACAGGATCAAGGCCTTTAAATTCACACGCTGGACAATATAAATAAAGTAGGGCTGTGAACATTAACGCATTCCGGTGTGACGGAAGTAAACAAAGTTGACCGTGGAAACGAAACCGCCGCTAGGTGCAGTCGGTTAGACAGAAGAGCGAGACAGTAGTTGGAGAGATCTTTTTGCATTGGAAGTAAAACAGAGGCGCGACATACAGCGGAGGACTGTGCAGAGGAATCACTCCACGTGTCAAACAGAAGGAGGGTGAGCGGCAAACGGACCACTTTACGCACCGCTAGGATAAGCTAGCTGCTAGGCTACGTCCATCTCAGCATCTACCCTGCGTGGCCCACGGTCTGAAGAGGGCCCCCACTGTGTCTCTAAAAGACAATGGTTTGGAAAACGTCCTGGCTAAATGTGGGAGATTGTTGGCTCTTCAAACACAGCCGTTGAATGACGGAGAGTTGAGAGCAAAGTGCACGAGGACAACAGGAAGAGTCGCTAGTTCAACATGTTCCACCAGGTGGAATTCTGCCTCCAAGATGATGTGTGTAGCGTGTGTTTAAAATACAATTAAATATCAGTGTCTAAAATACCCGCTGTCTAAATTCATGAATTTCAAAATAGGCGATTAATTCGTTAATTTAAAAATATCTATTGACAGGTGCAGTTTTGAACAGACAATGGCACTAGCATAAATTCAGGAGTTACTCAAAATCCCTGGGCCCTACCCTTAAATGGTATAAGACCTCAACATGCATTAACGTATTTACTCCATGATGATATATTATACCAACGTCGTTATATGGAGGATACAAGACAAATGACAACATATTTTTGTTCTAGAACAGTGTGAAGTCTCAGGTGATTTTCAAAATAATACAACTTCCGTTATTAACAACAGTGTGTAAGTGTCGTATCACAACAACAGTTTTTTCTGTAGTCTTTCAACTATTTAAATATTTATTTTCAATATGAAAAGAAGGAAATACATTTATACCACAGCTAACTCGGCAGAAATTGCTCTATGTACTCAGTTCATATCAAATCTGCAACAGGGAGAAATATTTTGTCAAAAAGGGTTTTATTATTTTGGCTTATTCAGACATATTGTACACAGATGTTTTTACATGTCAGTGATGCGCTTCATGCTCATGAACCTCATGCCGCTCATGCCCATGTCCCTGAAGCTCCTGTACTCTCCGGGCCTCATGTACATCATCTTGCCCCTGAACTGGGGCTGCTCGTACATCAGCCAGTGGCCGTCCATCACGTGGCAGGACTGGCACTCGTTCATGCGGTAACGGTCCATGATGTTGTCGCAGTCGTCCATCAGCTCGTGGCTCTGACCGCCGAAGTTCTCCCTCTCGTAGATCTTCATCCTGAACTGTCCCCTGTGCTGTTTTGCATAGAGTGAATGAAGTCAGATTAGTGTCAGGATGTGTGGAGGTTGTCTCCAATGTGGGAGTCATGATATGATGGATGCTGCTTTAAACCTACCATGGGGATCATACGGCAAGACCTGATGCAGTCCCTCATGCCCATCATGCTCATGTAGTCGGAGTACTCGCCCCTCCTCATGAAGTACTGGTTACCCATGTAGTTGGGGCGGTCGTAGACCATGAAGCAGCCGCTCTCCACCCTGCAGGAGTGACACCTGCTCAGGTAGGAGGACATGTCGGAGCAGTCGCTCATGCACTCATAGGAGCGACCCTGGAAGTTCTTCTCCTCGTAAAAGATGATCTGAAAAAGGAAAATAAAGTGAGAAAATGTATTTCATTTAAAGAAATCCAATTGGTATAGTTGATCATCACAGCTAAAGGGTGAGGTGAATGTCCTTACCTTGCCCATGGTCATGGTTGCGGTGTTGGTAGTTCAGAGAACTGTGTGACTGATAACTGATGTCCATCCTTTTTTAACGGTTACTTTTATACCCGACCAAACCCACAGAGTTTGTGGCCTCTATTGTGTAAACCCCTGACCAAGCAACATGGTATAGAGGCCTACAGAGCGCTCATGCATTTGTCACATTTCCATGTGACTGGACCCCCTAGAAGACTTTAGAATGGATCTTTTTCAATAGCGGCGTCAATACAATGAGAATCTTTGTCGTTACAATAAAGAAAAACCAACAATAGTCCCACAACATTTGCGGCCCTCTGTATTGATAAGTGGACAAGTTATAGATTGTGTGACCACGATAATCTGACAAGCCAGTCAAAGTACAGATCAACAAGTTGTGTTAATTCACCGGTTTGTCCAGCCTTGTACTGTATTAGTAAATGGACAACCACTTTAATGAACTTAGTTATACAGGGTTTACTAGCTTTTTTGTCACATATTTTTTACTTCACTGTAAGGATGTTGAAGTGTTTATCATTATAGAACTAATTATATATGTTGAGGTCTTTATGTTATAAAGTCATCGATTATCTCTTCATACAACAGCCATCCCTGATTTATCATGCAGGTGGATAGACACCACGTCATCTAGGCAACTTACTAAAATATATATGATATGTGGGACACTGAAAGTGTATCACACACTTAAATGGATTTTCACATAGATTTGGTTTACGTCAGAACCACATTATCTTTATCTTACATTTTAATAAAGCATCAATAACAATGAATACAATAGAATAAAAGTCTACACGTTAAGTGTTCTCTAAGGTATTATCAATTCAAATATCACAGATAAATAAATACTGAATGGATATCCATAGACTAGGTGATTATGCACAGTACATGCATGCATTCCAACGCGACGCATTTCAGAAGCTAATTCCCTAAAAGCTGAAACAAAGGGATCCACAGTTGAAGACATTGAGCCAATCGAGCAGTTCTGTATTTGTGTTGCGCAATAGAGCTACCTTCCTTTTTCCTCAGATTATGTATTAGCAACACTTTTTTGTAATACCCAAATGTTTGTTTTTCCTAGTACATTATTCTTTGAAATACAAAGCAAATATAATTGAAAAAAAACACAAAGAGATGCAATATCAGTTTTATTTTTTTGGAGGATATTGTCACACAACATACATTTTGCCAATCAAATATAAAATCCCCAAATCCAAAGAACATTGTTAAGGAGGCTAATGTGATTGTAAATTCTGCCCCCGTAAGCCTATCCGGGCCTGGCATACGGCACATAAGTACAACATGAGGAACATGACCTGTTACCCCACGATATAACGTGCGCTACCATCTCGCCCTCATTGGAGCAGAGTTATGAGTCCAAATTATGGTAGAGACCCGCCCCACGTAGCTGATCAAGATAGTCCACCTGTCTTTACACAAATTGGGTTACCGGCACCCCAGGGAGCTCGGCTACCCGGCCGCGGCTCGCCAGGAAAAAACGTGGGATTCATACTGCATAGCTTATTAGTCAAGTGGGCGGTGAGATAATTAGCCAGGCAATTTTCAGCAGCAATAAAACCAGTTGGGGATAGCGGTGGTCTGTAAAGGCACTCTTAATATTCTGCCACTCCCATAGGTTGGGAAACTGAGTTGAGTGGAGCTGGATCGGGTTGTTTAATTTGACCATTGATGGTTGTTGATAGCTTTGTGAAGAAAAGGAGAAATACTGATTCCCTTCAACTCCAGCGTTGCCTTGTTTTGTCTTCTTAGCTTCAGCCGCCGTTTTTGGTGTTCAAATTTGTGAACTGCGTGTGAACCCACTTCACGATTTGTGGGTAAAAAGTAGACCCAATTGTTTGTCAACAGTGTCTTATTCTTCTAAAGTTATGATTCTTTCACCTCTAACCTACTTTGTATTCAGGCTATTATGTAGAAAATGTCAGAATGCTGAAGTTATATGGCTAATTCCCGTTTGTTTGCAGGATTTATGAAAATACATTTCAACTCATAATTATTTCCACATAACGAAAATGTTCAAGCATTAAACTTCAGCAACACCCTAGCAACCAACAGGAACTCAACAGTAACCCATTGGTGGTGCTGACCTCAATATTACCGACTAGCATAATACAAAGTTATGTGGATGTTAAGATTACACGTGTTACCAGATGCAAGTAGCTTAGTGCTAAAAATGTAAATCAATCAGTTATTTGTAAACCAATTAAAGTAATACTAACTAAATTACAAAGCATGAGCCCAGAGTTTAGAAAGTTACATTGTTTATTGAAGTGAAAATGTACATCTAGCACATGTCAGTGATGCGCCTCATGCTCATGAACCTCATGCCGCTCATGCCCATGTCCCTGAAGCTCCTGTACTCTCCGGGCCTCATGTACATCATCTTGCCCCTGAACTGGGGCTGCTCGTACATCAGCCAGTGGCCGTCCATCACGTGGCAGGACTGGCAGTCGTTCATGCGGTAACGGTCCATGATGTTGTCGCAGTCGTCCATCATCTCGTGGCTCTGACCGCCGAAGTTCTCCCTCTCGTAGATCTTCATCCTGTACTGTCCCCTGTGCTGTTTTTACAAAGAGAATTTAAAAATAAATGTATTAACATCAAGTCTTGTGGAGGGTCTAACCTTAAGTAGAATCAGAGTTTGATGGATGCTGTTTTTAACCTACCATGGGGATCATACGGCAAGACCTGATGCTACCGCTCATGCCCATCATGCTCATGTAGTCGGAGTACTCTCCCCTCCTCATGAAGTACTGGTTGCCCATGTAGTTGGTGCGGTCGTAGACCATGAAGCAGCCGCTCTCCACCCTGCAGGACTGGCACCTGTTCAGGTAGGAGGACATGTCGGAGCAGTCGCTCATGCACTCATAGGAGCGACCCTGGAAGTTCTTCTCCTCGTAGAAGATGATCTGAAAAAGTACCATTAGAGACAAAGGTAATAAATACATATTCATATGATTGGAAAATAAACACTGAATTAATTGATTGATTTCTTTCATTATCTAATAGTATTCATGTTCTCACCTTGCCCATGTTGACGTCTGTGGTTTCCCAGATCTACTAGAGAACGTTTTTTGAACTGATACTCGTCCAGTCAGAACAAGTGACATTTATACCTGGCCAGAAACAAAGACAGTGTGCCGCTCTATTGTTCAAAGTCCTGACCCAGCAGCCTGCTATAGATGCCTATAGTTGTCACTTGCTTACCAATATGCCAGCAGGGTCACAATTGCTATGCAGGATTTTCCATTGGAGAGAAAAGACCAAATTTCTTTCAGAAATGGTTTTGCCGCTTGGATATTAAATGTACAGTTAGGTACAAATGTAAAGGTTGAAATAACGGGTTTTTCAAATGCCACAATGACCTCAATTATGGCGTGATCTCTCTTTCCTTTCAATTTGACTAAAATATTACAATCCAACAAGCTCACATCCAAACAAAGCTAAACACTCAGCGGACAAAGTAGACAGAGAAAGCATATCACGACAGGCCACACAAGGATTGAAATATCAACTATGAACCGATATCACTTGAGCTGGTGATGAGAAAAAAATACTTTAGAATGTTATGATTGTGGTTATGGGATTATTAGAACCATAGAATGAATTTGCATATTGAATAAAGAATATATATCTGTATCTGAATTACCTCAAACATCATATTATTTATTCACTTATTAGATAATCTATAATCTAATCTGATTGAGCAAACAAATTGAAAGTGTCCTCTAGATTCTAGAGAATTTGTTTGCTAATTTTACAGAGCTAAATTAAATTTCTGAACCCCCACTTTGACTTTGAAATGTAACTAGACAGCTCAAAACCGTTTGCTAAACTCACTTGGCATACTCATTATGGTGTTTTTTATAGGGCTGTCAATAGATTAAAAAAGATGTATAAATTAATCGCACATTTTGATTAATCACGATTAATGAACGTTGTGTATTGTTACAATATTGTTTTCAATGAATGTTTGTCTGTTTTCTAAAGACTAAATCGTACAAGTAATGAATCACTTTAGAAAACGTGTATTTTAGACACTGTTGTTTAATTTTTTATGTTTTTTTAAAGACCAACTAAACACATGTGATCATCTTGGAGGCAGAATTCCACCAGGTGGAACATGTTGAACTAGCAACTCTTGTTGTCCCCGTGCACTTTGCTCTCAACTCTCCATCATTCAACGGCTGTGTTTGAAGTGCCAACAATCTCCCCACATTTAGCAGGACGTTTCCAAACCACGGTCTTTTAGCGACACAGTGGTGGTCCTCTGCAGACTGTGTGCCGCGCAGGGTAACGTTAGATGTTGAGATGGAACTAGCATAGCAGCTAGCTTAGCATAGTGGTGCTTTAAGTGGTCCTTTTGCCACTCACCCCACTTCTGTTTTGACACGAGGAGGAATATAATAATATGGGGCCAAATCCAGGTCAAAATTTGTGTTTATTTGAAAAACAAATGTAAACCTGAAAGTTTAAGCGTTGGTCTTGAACATTGAAAATACAAAAATGTATTCAAAATAAAAATAAGTGCACAAAATGTATTTTTGGGTTGAATATAGTTTTGACTGTTTTACAATTTTTTTGAATATATATATTTTTTTCATTCTTCATTTGTATTTATTTTTTGATATTCACTGTATTATATTTTTTTCGGTTGCTAATTTTTATTTTCAGATTGAAATCTTATATTTTCAGATTCAAAACTTTTTCAGATTTTTTTTTTGTGTTCAGACTTTTGACCCTGATGTTGCGTAGGGGTCGGGGCATCAACTGGGAGGGGCGGCTAGCCACACATTTAGCTATCAGCTACGACATTACCTGTCATCAAGATGCAGTTTTTTTTTTTATTAGTTCTTCTGTCTTTTTGTTCTTTCTTAGTATTTTTTTAATTTCTTTTTGGCTTTTGCTAAATTGAGGCTGATCATTTCTCAAATTGTTGCTCCCCACAATCCAAATAGGTCGTACCTTCTTTGTATTGCATTGCACTATAAACAGTTTTCTTTTTAAAATAAGTCAATATTACCTCACTATTCCACCTCAGTTTTTTAGGATTTTTGTTTTTTCGAATAGAATGAAATAGCAATACGGTTAACTCAATTTCTTTTAAAACAACAAGTGCAAACAACATATTTCCCCAAATTGTAACTTATTATGGTCACATGATCAGGATGTGGGTTTCCAAGTGTGAAACTGCTTGATTTTTTTTTCTTTCATTTTTTTTTCTTATGTGCAACAATATGATATAGCAACCTATCTTTACAACGTGCTTGTAATTGTTGACAATGATCTTCTTAACCTGCTAGAAAGGATTAAGCAGTTAGATTTACCTTTTCTGGACGATGTTATTCACTATACACGATTATTTGTCATCTAAATGTAAACAAAATCTGTGTCAGAATTTGGAATACAATGTGAAACAAAGTAAAATGAAATAGAGGAATTGCACAAATTATGATCTTTATTATCCATTTTTATACAGGTTTTATATGCATGCAAGTGTGCCACGTAAAGGAATGTGCCTCATTATCCTTCACACCCATTGATGCCTATTTCTTTCCCGTTGACATCTGCTCTTTAAGGGCACAGTTCTCAAAACAACCAGTGAAACGTGTCAAAATAGAGTAAAATGATTTTATTTGTTGGAATCCAGCTCAAATTCAGTTGCATGAATCTGTGATGCGCTTCATGCTCATGAACTTCATGCCGCTCATGCCCATGTCCCTGAAGCTCTTGTGCTCTCCGGGCCTCATGTACATCATCTTGCCCCTGAACTGGGGCTGCTCGTACATCAGCCAGTGGCCGTCCATCACGTGGCAGGACTGGCAGTCGTTCATGCGGTAACGGTCCTGGATGTTGTCGCAGTCTTCGCTCAGCTCGTGGCTCTGACCACCGAAGTTCTCCCTCTCGTAGATCTTCATCTTGTAGGATCCCCTGTGCTGTAGGGGGAACAGAGGAGGAGAACAAAAAAAAGAGATCAGGAATAAAAGTACTTTGAGGACATCCGGAAGATTTAGAACCTGGAGGACGGAGACCCTGCTGTACCATGGGGATGGTGCGACAGGACCTGATGCAGTCGGAGAATCCCATCATGCTGGTGTAGTCGGCGTACTCTCCCCTCCTCACGAAGTGCTGGTTGCCCATGTAGTTGGGGCGGTCGAAGACCATGAAGCAGCCGCTCTCCACCTTGCAGGAGTGGCACCTGCTCAGGTAGGAGGTCAGCTCAGGGCAGTCGCTGTTGGTCTCATACTTGCGACCCTGGAAGTTCCTGTCCTCGTAGAAGATGATCTGCAAGCACAACAATGCTGGTTTAGCACCATTTTTTGAATGACCGAATGAGAGGTGATTTTTCCTAAATGGGTATTTATTCCCAGTACCCACCTTGCCCATGGTCATGATTAGTTCCGGGTTGGTCCTCAGGCCTGAGTTGCTGCTGCAGTGTGTTCCTGTCGGTGCTAACCGTTACTTTTATACTGGCTCAATGTGAAAAAAGTATGTGGGGCTTCCATTGTGCAAAGCCCTGACCCAGCATCGTGCCATAGAAGCCTATTGAGCAGTCAGGCCGCGAAAGGGTTATTATCCAACACCAAATGCACGTACTGTACACATGCACTATTGTCTGACACATAAAGAGAAGCTTCCAGCCGTGATATGACAGCGTGCTCTATATTTCACACTGTATTTCACTTACCATGTGGCTGGTAGGATCTTCTTACCAATACAGTTCAATACAAATTTAATTAAAGTATTAGATAATAAAAGCTGGGTGTCCAGCTATTAATGATGTCACAGGAGAGCACACGGTTACTCACACTGGATGTATTAAGTTATAAAAAACATGTTGTAGATAAAACCAATACTGTCTTCTTTTATAGTGGCTTAATGAAACATAAACACAAGTTACAGCGGCTTTTACAATTGTTTTCATTTAGTCCAGTCTTCATTCAAGTTAAGTTTGAGTTTATTGAAACAAACTTTAATTTTAAATGTGACGGATCAGGTCCAGGTTTTGAACCATTTACACTTTGAAAGTGTTTTCTCTTTTTGAAAATGACAACATTTTGTCAAAACGTATTGAAATAACCAGTTATCGCCCCCTTAAAAGAGTCCCATCTATGCGATGTTTGTTTGGTTGTGACCTGCGATCATTGACCAGATAAGATCGGAGAGGGGAGGAATATTGAGAGACTATTCTGATCTGTTTCACTTAACAGGAAATATGACAATTAAACAGTGGCGACTGGTCCATAGAGGGCAATGGGGTGTGGCGCCACCATGAGGGCGGGACATTTTTTGTTTTGTTTATTATATTAAAAACAAATTTGAAATAGTCAATATTTGTGTTTTTGAAACGTGGATTATACACCCGGTAATATTTGTAAATTAAGATATCTGTGCAAAATATATGCTTTTTCTGCACGTCCTCCTCTCCGCGTGTCTCATGGGCTCGGGCCGGGTGCCATAGGGGCGGGTCTAAGAAGCAGTTAGCCAATCGCTGATGAAGTTAATGAGGGACATTATCATTTCAGCATCCTAAATTACATTGAGATTTGGGCAGAGCCCTTCGCCGCCCTACGCTGCGCTCTCAAATCTCGGGCCGCGTTGCTTAACAACATAACTAGAGCGACGCCCGGCAGTGTCCTTCAAGAACATCCGACCCGAACGAGAGAAGAACTTTGCCGGAGAAACTAGAGGTGAAACAGCTGAACCCAGAACAGTCTGACCTCACCGTCAGACAACGGACGCTTCTGTAGAGACCAAGTTAACACAGGACCGCGGTGAGGACACACAACCCGGATGTGGATGAAAACAGGGACATTCTATCCAAAATAGTTCATTGTGTGTTTTGTGGGGCTTTGGGTCTTTCCTCAACACACTAATCGGGTGTTTTCCCAACAAACTAGGTTCATAGCATCTCAATATACACTGTACACATACATATATTTATCCTTTAATGTAATGTATTTATTATAATATATTTATGTTGGATATTTATGATAGTTACAATATGGTAGTTATATTCTGAAAATTGTTATATTATATATATATTTCATTGATATACGGAATTGTTTGAATAAGATTAAGATTGATCTAAATGTTTTAATAAATGTAAATGTGAATATTTAACTGCAAAGTAATAATGCGTGTTTGATACCCTTTTTTGCATTGAATCATACTGGGATGTTTACTGAAACTGATTGGCTGGCCCTACCAAAAGAAACATCCAACAGCCGCCACTGCAATTAAATAAGATAAGCATTTAGGATTAGACGAAACATAATAGTCCTTTATTATTATTGGGGGTATTTGCAATGTTACAGAAAAAAGGAGACAACAAGAGATCTCACTAAAAAAACAAGACATGTTCATTTAATGATTCCCAGAGAATGTGAGGGTTGCACCTGCATACAGACAGAAATACAGATAAATAATATGTAAAAAATTATAATAACTATGAAATAAGAAAATCCCATATGTACACATTAACAATGTCATCTAACAAGAATGGTCATGTTAGACGACATTGATAATTTGCTTTTCTTTTAGGCAGCGCCCATTCATTTTGTTAAAGAATTAAAATCCTTAAGAAGAGATCCTTATTTATTCAGATCCTTATGAATCTAAATGTATTATAAATGTACCCCAAGCAGTGTTTCAATAAAGATTATTGGAGGAATCAGATTTATTTTAGTTTTTTTTTTTAAGTATCCCCTTAGATTCAAGTAAATGTCCTTTATTTGCACCAGCATGACTGTTAGCTATTATGAGACATTAAGAGTTGCACACACATTGTTCTTTTAATTTAATGTACAAGTATCTTTTAAGGCACTCTTTAAACTTTAAAGTATGCATTTGTAAAAAAAAAGGAGAATGGCTCAGAATGGTTCATTTCCCCTGTGTTTATTATCATATAATTTCATAATTATTTTTAAATGGTTTTGAATGTGTTTAAAGTTCACTTTGGGGTGATGGGGGGACCCGATTAAAAAAGAACCATTGGAGTTCAATGGTTGCTGAATTGTGTTGGTCAGACTTTTGTTAAATTTGACTGGTCATGAAGGTGAATAAATAACATTAATGATATCTCCCATTTGTCACAACAATGTTCACATAACCATTTGTGTGTTTGCGCTCTACATAACATTTTTATATTTTCTTAAGAAGTTCATCTTTTGAGACAATATTTTGCACTTTTCAGAAGAAGTTATATACTGTTGTGTCTCGGCGAGTCAGCGAACGAATCAGAGGCGCCTTGTAGCCATCGTTAGCATCATCGCTAACATGTTACTTTAACTTAAATATAAGTTAAAAAATATTCCTGATTTGGCATTTAAGGAATGTGGCCAAATCACTTTATTCATACTACACATGTTGATAGTGTTTCAACACTTAAATCCAAGATTAGTTTATCCTACTGACTATTTTTTAAATGTCTGTATTTGTTATGTGTTTAATGCAGAGGGGTCAGGAAACATGACAAAAACCAGGCACAGTCACACAGCTTCCACTTTCATCGTTTGAAATGAACTTTTAATGTGCCGTGCATCATACATGAGCAGCAGCATTCACTACAGCCCAAACTATTCATGTGATTCACCAGCTGATGATAATGCAATTTCTTAATCAAATTTTGTGTCCTAATTTCCTCCCTTAACTCAATAATAATAGTAATTCTTTATTGGTGTAATTGTTGATTTCATCCATCAGTCTCGAGCCCAATCTGTCGTTCAACAGGAGTCCATGATGCGCCGCATGGATCCGATCTTCATGTCCATTGGACCTGTTCCCATGTCCCTCATGCTCCTGTACTCCCCGGGCCTCAGGTACAGCATCCGGCCTCGGTACTGCGGCTGCTCGTACATCAGCCAGTGGCCGTCCATCACGTTGACGGACTGGCAGTCGGACATGCGGAGGCGCTCCTGGACGGAGTCGCAGTCCTCCATCACCTCGTTCATCTGACCTCTGAAGTTCTCCCGCTCGTAGATCCTCATCTTGAACGGACCTCTGTGCTGTAAGGCCACACGCCGGGGAGAGAGAACAGAACGTCAGCTAGGCTGGAGTGGGGTCTCCGGCCTGCGACCTCGCGGTTCCACACGGGGCTTTCCTACCGTGGGGATCATGCGGCTGGAACGGATGCAGTCGCTCGCGGTCATCCCCATCAGGCGCTGGTTGTCCGGGTACTCGCCCTTCTTCGCCAGCGTCTGGTGGCCCATGTAGTTGGGGCGTTCGTAGACCATGAAGCAGCCGCTCTCCACCCGGCACGAGTTGCAGCGGCTCAGGTAAGAAGTCAGCTCGGCGCAGTCGCTGCTGGTCTCATGGGAGCGACCCTGGAAGTTCTTCTCCTCGTAGAAGACGATCTGAAAAGTCAAACGGACAAAGTGTTTCAAATGACACGTCGACGTCCCCCCGCGGTTGAAGATGGATGGATGGATGGATGGATGGACGTCAACATCACGCATCCCAATCTCTTACTTTGCCCATTTTGGTGTTCTGTCCTATCGCTGATTGCACGGGTACGTTGCACAGCCCGACCCGGGGTCACTTTTATACCCGTGATGGTAACTAAATGATCCGTGAGCCATTGTGTTGAATGTCTTACTCAGCAGCGCAGCATACAGGGGGCGATGACGTTTGTTAAATCGCTCCGTAAATGGTCGTTATTCTAGACTCTGGTGCATCTGGTGCAGTGCCAACCGCTGGGGGGCTCTGATGTGGGGGCACAGGTGGGTGAGAGCAGAAAACGCATCAGCTGGGACGCTGGGACGGGTCTGTGAGGTCCAGTCAAGGGTGTAGGTTTTGGTCTCAGCATTGGTAGGGACACGACGAGCCCCCCGCCATATAAAAACAGTTGATATTATGGGCTTTGGGGGGTTAGCCAGACTTTATTAACATTTGTGTAACTTGGCACTGATTAAAACATAATAACAGCGCTAAAATCTCAGTTTAATAATAGTATTCTGCACCAAATAAATAATAATAGGGACTAATGAAATAAATTGATAAAAAACAGTATATTCTATAACCAGCAGTTACAGTCTATAAATAAAGTGCTTTTGATCTTTACGTGTAGCTGCTACTTGATGTCTTATTTATATGCACAAACAAGAAACCTCCATTCATCATTCACAGAGATGAACTGTTGGCCTACATCTTTACGCTCCATCTTGAAGCACGTGGTTTACACACGTGCTTTTTTTCTCCAGCCGCTGCTTGGACGTGGTTGACCTGAACCTTTTTAACGCAATGAGACTCTGCTCAGCTTCAGCTGAGAAAACAGCCACTAACATCGAGATCGTGTTCAGCTTCCCCTCTTGGCCAAAAAGGCCCCTTGTGGCGTTGCCCTAAGAACCCCTACAGCTTGCTAGTAGCTGGTGGTGCTGACTGGACGGAATCAGAAGGTCCCTGTCAATTTCAACACTAAGTCTGCACTGGATTTCTCAGTTTCTTGAATGGCTTAACAAAATAACATAATAAGAAGTACATGGAATGCATTTGTTGATTCTGACACGTAGGTAATTGGTTCAGGTTTTATGGAGCTGTACGAGGCCTAAATCATCTGTACTGGATTTCTGAGCAATGAAATAATGTAGTAATTAATGAATTATATAATATATTAAATTGTTTGGGAGGAGCAGAGGATGGACTCCATGATGGCCGTGTAGAAGTGGACCATCATCGTCTTTGGCAGGTTGAGTTTCTTCAGCTGCCTCAGGGAGAACAACCTCTGCTGAGCCTTCTTGGTGATGGAGCTGATGTTCAGCTCCCACATGAGGTCCTGGGTGATGATGATGGAGCCCCGGAAACGGAAGGAATCCACAATAGTGACGGGGGAGTCACACAGGGTGATGGGGGAGGGTGGGGCACTGTTCCGCAGGAAATCCACAACCATCTCCACTGTCTTTAGAGCGTTGAGCTCCAGGTTGTTCTGGCTGCACCACGACACCAGATGGTCAGACTCCCACCTGTAGGCGGACTCGTCCCCACCAGAGATTAGTCCAATGAGGGTGGTGTCATCCGCAAACTTCAGGAGCTTGACGGACTGGTGACTGGAGGTGCAGCTGTTGGTGTACAGGGAGAAGAGCAGAGGGGAAAGAACGCAGCCTTGGGGGGAACCGGTGCTGATGGTCCGAGAGGCTGAGACATGTTTCCCCAGCTTCACGTGCTGCTTCCTGTCTGACAGGAAGTCTGTGATCCACTTGCAGGTGGAGTCGGGCACGTGCAGCTGGGAGAGTTTGTCCTGCAGCAGAGACGGGATGATGGTGTTGAAAGCAGAGCTGAAGTCCACAAACAGGATCCTGCCGTAGGTTCCTGGGGAGTCCAGATGCTGGAGGATGACAGCATCGTCCACAGACCTGTTGGCTCTGTTTCCTAACTGCATTCCACAAAATGGTCAACAATATCAATGCTGAGACCAAACGAAAGACAAATATCAGGCATTATTCTCAGCTCTCTTTCTCTTTCCGTGTATTCACACACTGAAGAACATCAGAAGAACTGTAATATGGGAAAGGGCCTCTCTGATCCCTGATAAGAGGGCTTATTTCAGTTTAAACTGCACTGTACATTGGTGGAGATCCCGTGTAAGAGTTTATTTTGACTGCATAATTCAGTACAGCGGCGACAGTAGAAGCATGTATATTTTTTACAGTATAGTTTTATTTACGTGAAACAATTTTGTGAATTAAAATATCCAACCCTCAAACACACACACACACACAGCAGCCGTCTTCCATTTGACAAAAGACAACGCCGTGACGTTTGATTCCCCTTCGGTTTTTCATTTAACACATTTCTTTTTCTCTGCATCAGCAGGAATCCGTCACACGCCTGACGGAGCTGAACCTCATGCCGCTCATGCCCATGTCCCTGAAGCTCCTGTACTCTCCGGGCCTCATGTACATCATCTTGCCCCTGAACTGGGGCTGCTCGTACATCAGCCAGTGGCCGTCCATCACGTGGCAGGACTGGCACTCGTTCATGCGGTAACGGTCCTGGATGTTGTCGCAGTCGTCCATCAGCTCGTGGCTCTGACCGCCGAAGTTCTCCCTCTCGTAGATCTTCATCCTGTGAGAGCCCCCGGGCTGCTGCTATTGACACATAAAGGAAATGAATACCTGAAAGAATTATTTTTACTATTCCGTATCGACGTAATGCGACTGCGACATAGAATATTATTCCATACCTGAGGAATCAGGATCGGGTGGACTCGCCCGCGCCGAGAGACACGTAGTCAGAGTACTCTCCCCTCCTCATGAAGTACTGGCTTCCCATGTAGTTGGGGCGGTCGTAGACCATGAAGCAGCCGCTCTCCACCCTGCAGGAGTGACACCTGCTCAGGTAGGAGGACATGTCGGAGCAGTCGCTCATGCACTCATAGGAGCGACCCTGGAAGTTCTTCTCCTCGTAGAAGATGATCTGAAAGAGGAAAACGGAACAAACCGAATTTGTCTTTTTCTTTTTTTTTTAAAGTACTTCAGTAAGTTTATATTCATTCACGTTCTTCTTTATATTTTCCCACTTGTTTACATTCCTCATTAACTAAAAAGGAAGGAAGGAACAGTTTATTTCTCTACATTTACTCCCCACTGTCAATGTTATATTTGTAAAAAAGTGCCATGTAATGCAGGTAGGTAAAGCTGGAGAAATTAAGCTTTTTTCTCAAACCTGAACAAAGACACGAGAATATATTTTTATTCTGGCCCCTAATGTTAACTCCTATCCTAAACACCCTGGATTCGGACTACAAAATTCATCAGGTAAAGTCTTTCTGGTTCATTAAAGCATCCCAGGTTGAAATCAGGTCGCCATCTTATCGCCTAAAAAAGATAAAAGATAAACACCTTCATCCTGCTCTTAAATGAAACCTTTTCACTGCAGGACTTTGGACATTTGCAACACCGATGTGATGGACAATATTAATACACTGCTTTGACAAACGACCTTTGAGGAGACGACGCTGCAGCTTCCAATCCGATATAGCGTGTGTTCTATAAAAAGAGTCACTGTGCACGTGGAAAAGGAAGTGGGATTTAATAAAACAAATATTCATTTGATTATGTTTATTATGTTACAGGGATACAGGACCTCAGACTGACGATGCAAACTCATCCTTTAAGAAGGCAGAGGGACGTCCCATGTAAACAGCTTAAAGATGGACGGAATAACAACGACGGCAGCGGACGTCTTAGACGACATGAGGCCGAAGGGAAAGCAAACGTTTTGACGATACGCAAATCGGGCTCATTTAGATGACAACAGTTTCCCCTCGTCGGCACATTCTGCATCTGGATATAAACCACGACACGGCTGCAGCTGGGCGGCAAGAAAGCAACGCGGGTCCCAATGGGGAAGGTGAGGAGCAAATTCTCTTTTCTAAAGCTTCTAAAGATCTTTCCCGCCGGTTACGTGAGCTGTCTCTTGGTTTTATTCCCTTCGGATCACATTCTTCGAGGGTAAGGACTTCGCGGGCCGTCGCTACGAGTGCAGCTCCGACTGTCCCGGCCTGCGCTCTCTCTTCGGCGCCGGCAACTCCGTCAAGGTGGAGACGGGCTGCTTCAACTCCATCCAGGTGGAGACGGTGCTGCTGGGTGCTGTACGAGCGTCCAAACTACACGGGCAGCCAGTACGTCCTGAGCCCCGGGGAGTACGCTGACCCCCACCAGTGGAGGGGCTTCAGCGTCAGCATCATGTCCTGTCGTTTTGTCAAAAATGTAAGCTCAATAACCGCCAGATGTTTAGATATCGTTCAGTTTTGTGAAGCAGGGAGACGTTTGCCACATCGAGGAGTGGATTGAGCCAAACGTCAGTCAAAGTGGGACGCAGTTGACCTAAAATCCACCACACAGCTTGACTTTTCTTCAACATTTCTGGCTTCTTTTTTTTTTGCAGGAGGGTTCCCAGCTGCAGTCAAATAGCAGCGAGTGCATCAACCGAGCAGTAATCAGTCAAAGGCCAGCGGGGAAAAGGGAGAGATTAAAAGGCTCATGATTTGGCAGCATGGTGCTTTATGTGCACATCAATTATTGAAGGAACGTAGGAAAACAGCCAAGAAAAGCATTTGTCGATGGACGAGGACATGAGAGACAGGTCCAAGCACAAATCTCATCACCTTTACTCCTCTAACTCCCTCAAGGTTTACGGAAAGTCCTGGAAGATCCGCTTCTACGGAAAGAAGGATTTCGGAGGCCAGGCGGCGGAGTGCGCCGAGGACTGCGAGTCGGTCTACGAGGCCTCCTTCCAGTTCCGGGAAGCGCTCTCCTCCGTGGCGGCGGACGGTGCCCGGGTTCTCTACGAGCAGCCCGACCACCGCGGGCGCCAGTACTTCCGGGAGCGCGGCGAGTACCGCGGCTACACGGACCGGGGCGCCACCTCCCCCCCGCTGTGGGGTCCTTCCGCATGATCACCAGAGTGACCCCCGACCCCCTTGTGGGCCGAGGCTCTAGAATCCCGCGGGGAAACGCCAGCTCCAGAGCACTTACAATGTTCCAGAACAGTCAGCCTCCAAATCAATAAAAGTATTTATTACCCATGACTGCGAGGCCCTCTCTGCGGTGTGTTGTCTTCTAGTGGCCTCCAGTAATGCTCAACACCGTTTACATCCCCAGACAGATTGCCGTCGGAACGGCGGCCTGGACGTGGACTGTGCACTTAAGAAATAGAAGTGCGAGATAAACGAATGATGCGTTTGCAAACAGTGGATACAGACAGTTAAACACATTTCCTTTCAGGTCCTCATTTAGAACGTCACGTCGTCATAAAAGGCTTATATCTGTATTAGTAACAAAAATCAATAAAACAAAAATGATCCATACGTAGTTATTTGATCATTGTTTCCTATATTTCACACAGCACAAATGATGAACTGTGGGGTTATTCTTAAAGAATCATTTGTTTATAGGTTTTTGGTTTCCCAAAAGAGCAGTTTACATCCATTACAGTGCAAATATTTAGCAGTTAATGACATCTTAAAAATGAAATATTTTGCATTGACCATATTTCTTGAGTTTCTTTCAATGTGGTCCTACTAATGTAAATCATATAAAGAGCAGAAATAGTTCTAGATGCTCAATAAATCATCCCGCCAAAAGGAAATCTGTATAAAAACAGCCGTCAGAAATGAAACAGTGATACAAAGTACATTTTCCAATGAAATAACAAACTATTGTGTGAACAAAGGTTGTGACACAAGCACATGCTACACTACACAAAAACCAGTCTACATGATGGTTTTGCGTGATTTGTTTAAACATTTGTTTCATTTTGTCACTTAGTATCAAAATGTTCATAAACTGAACATCCTTCCTCTATTTGCACGACTTCCGAGTAACAATGTCACATAATGCGACCGGGTGATGATATCAGAATAAATAAAATAAAGGATGATTTCTCACATTAAAGCATTACATGAAATGGAATTAAAAAAGCCCCATTTCCTGCAGCGGTTGGGTCGGTTTGGTGATCAGACTCACTGCTAAACAACCTTTGTGTGTGAAGAGTCAATCCAGTGAGCAAGAACAAAGGGCCGACTCTAGATGAACATTTGGATGGTAATAAGCGGTACGCGCGGTGCTAACCGTGCGTGTGGCAGTATTGTCTCCGCTGTGTATAAAGAGCACTGCGTCGGTCACAAGCGTCCGGTATCCCGCCAGCTACAGATGGCGAAGGTGAGGGACGGCGTTGGGAATGGAAATTGGAAAAGCGTTTTGCGTGGTCGCTGACCCTCTCTCTTCTCCCCAGATCGCGTTCTACGAGGACCGGGACTTCCGGGGGAAGTTGTACGACTGCAAGGGGGACTCGGCCGACCTGCAGGGCTTCATCCGCCGGTGCAACTCGGTGAAGGTGGACGGCGGCTGGTGGGTTCTGTACGAGCGCGACAACTACAGCGGCTACCAGTACGTCGTGGGCCCGGGGGAGTACAGCGACTACCGCCGCTGGATGGGCTTCAACGACTGCGTCAGGTCCTGCAGGACCATCAGAAACGTGAGTGCTGCAACAACAACAACAAGAATACAGAGTGAGTCACTTCCTTGACTGTGTTTTTTATGGGGGGGGGGGTTTCAGGCGCAAGGGCTGTACAAGCTGAAGCTGTTCGACAGGCCGAACTTCGCCGGTCAATCTTGGGAGCTGACGGAAAACACAAAGTCCATCCAGGAGAAGTGGGTGAGGCAGGAAGTCCAGTCCTGCAAAGTGCTGGAGGGCTCCTGGATCTTCTTTGAGCATCCGAACTTCTGTGGTCGGCAGTACCTGCTGGAGAAAGGGGAGTACCGACACCACTCCGAGTGGGGGGCCGCCAAGCCCACCGTGGGCTCCGCCAGGATCATCTTGGAGCTGTGAAAGTCAACCGGTTAACGGCTGTAATGTGATGTTATGCAAATGCAATAAACGTGCAACAGATGTTTAAATGTGTGCAAAGGTCCATTAAAATCTTCTCTTATCCATAACGATCAGATAAATTAATGACCAAACAATTTGTCATCAGCGAGGAGAATTTCAATCCACTTGCCAGTTGATTTAGTGCAAGTAATGCAGTCATTTGTTTCATAAAACATACTTATATCCGGATTATATTCTGAGCTGCGTATCTTTAATGCTTCGTTGGGAAATATGATACATTGAATTCAATTATATTGGCTGTATTAGTGTAATTATAAGTATAACACATCTTCATAATGTTGAAGGACGCCTGCGACAGCAAGAAGGGAGGTACTGCAAATAATGAATCATACAAACACAGAATCATTAGTTACTCCTCAGTATAATAATTAGAGCATCATTATCGAGATAAATAAATTGTTTCCTGGGAATCAAGAGGTCAAACGATGCATTGTGGCGTTTTAGAAACAATTGCAGCCTCAGCTGTTGTGCACTTTTAATGCCGAGGCAATTCAAACGACAAGGATGCGTCTGGTAGTGAATTCGATGGGCGCAAACACACTGTGCGTACGAACACATTGTGCACACATTGTGCACACGGTGTGTGTACTTGTGATTAAAGTTTATTTACGCACACTGTTAGTTAAGAACAGAAACCCTTCACGTGTCTGGAATAAAAAAATGGAATGAAACAGGTACGAAGTGGATAAGAATGAACGTCCCCCCCCCGAGGAGTCGCTCCCCAGGTGCTCGCGGCCTCCTTGCCCTGCTGAGAGGTCACCGAGGTCACCGAGCTCAGCTGGACCTGCGGACAAAGAGCTGCAGCCTGCCGATGACTCGGTGGGATTAGTCAGTCAGAGCCCGGAACTCGCCAGCTGCCCCCGTTAGTGCTGACGCTCGGCTGACGGGAACAAGGCCGTGACCCCCCACCTCACCTCAACGGCACAAAGGGAGCCCGTCCAGCAGGTTCCCCCCCAGCTGCGGCTATTCGCCCCCGAAAGCCTCTTTTGTTTACTGCACCCGTGATGCTTTGAGAGGGGAAATGCGCCGGCGGCCCCCCATCGCTGGGAGCCGGCGTGCGACCTCTTGTGGGCAGAACACGGAAACCCCAAAAGGCCTTTGAGCATCAAACTCAACAGCTCAAGAATTCACACAAGTAACGACCATCTTTCAGAAGGTTAATGAACGGATACGTATGGATGGGAAGAGGAGACAACAGCGATATTGATGAAGCCGTGGAATCAATACGTCATTTAGTCCCAGTGACTAATGCTGTGTGGGAGGAGACTATTGATACGTTGAATACAAGGACAGCTTTTTAATTTGAATGGTACTAGACACAGATGTGTAATATCAACATGCAGTTTTCTCTCATTTTAAGATATAGTTTGGGGTTTTGCACTTGCATTAAAGTTTAGTTCTTTATTGCTGCAGGATTTCGCTGCTATGAAGTCCCTCCAACACGTGTTATCATCTCTATCACGTAGATATTTTATGTTGCACTTTTTCTCCGGCTCACTTATTTATAACTTCATCTCAGCAGCTGAAAAGGAACCACGGTTAATGCCGGGAAAAGAATGACCGTTTCTGGCTTCGACCTTGTGTGGAAGGAGCGAGCGAGCGCCTCGCTCTAGTGCGGTGAGAGAGAGACCAGTGGCGACGAGTTACGTCCGTTCAACCCACAGCGTAAAACACACTGAACACAGTGATGCGGGACCATCAGAAGACACGGGAAGTTAAGCAGAGACAACTACTGAGACCAGTCAGCTTCTTGTCACCCTCTTGTCCTCCGAAGAGACCCACTGCAGAGAGGTCGTGTTCCTGTGACACTGCACACTCTGACTGCCTCCTACACACACACACACACACACACACACACACACACACACATGCGGACCTGAGGGGGCGTTAATTTGGATCCGAGGTCTGAGCTGGAAAAACACGCCACCGAGCTGCTGCCAACACATTCTGATGTGATGACGAGTTGTTTCCTTCTGTTGATGTTGCAGCCATATCGTCCGTTGCTTATTCTTAAAGCTCAATGTGGATGGAAGGACTGTGTGTGGTGGGGTTGTGCGATGGTGCCGCACGAAGACAGAAGCGCAGTGAAAGACGGACATAAAAAAACTCTAAATATTGATTAAAAAAAAATTGGTAAATGTGACTTCAAACAGGAGAGTGTGTATA